AGAGAGAGAGCTTCTACATCTACTGGTTTACTACCCAGGTCTAAGCTAGCCCAAAGCCAGGAACCAAGAACTCCATCTGGGTCTTCTATATGGTACCAGGGCCCCAAACACTTCGGCCATCTTCCGCTGCCTCCCCAGGCACTTTTAGCAAGGAGCTGGATTGGAACTAGAGCAGCTGGGCCTCCACCCAGCCCTCCGAAATGGGAGCTAGGACCTCAACCATCAGGTCAAACATCCTCCCCTTTTCAAATAGTCTTGATCCACTGAATTTGCAGATGCACAGCCCAGAGACAGGCAGGGCTGACTGTGCTTGCTTTAACACTGCCCATGCCTCTTTCGCTAAAGATTCTTAAATATGGCTTTTTGGCCAAAACCACTGTTTTCCAGTAATTCACCAAGATGATAAACACAAAGGGAAAGAGAGGCACCTGATGCATATTCTCCAGGCCTTTTAGAAAACAGAGTTGACGGGGCTGGCTCACTTGGTTAACCCTCTGCCTGGATCCCATATGGGCACCGGGTTCTAGTCCCAGTTGCTCCTCTTCCAGTCCAGCTCTCTGCTGTGGCCTGGGAGGGCAGTGGAGGATGGCCCAAGTGCTTGGGACCCTGCACCTGCACGGGAGACTAGGAGGAAGCACCTGACTCCTGGCTTCGGATCGGTGTAGTTACAGCTGTAGCAGCCATTTGGAGTATGAACCAATGGAAGGAAGACCTTTCTCTCTATCTCTCTCTCACACTGTCTAACTCTATCTGTCAAATAAAAAAAAAAGAAAAGAAAACATGGAGTTGTTCCTTTGGCCACATACATGCACATCTACAAGAAAGATGATATTGAAGATACCAAGGGCATGGGTACTGCTCAAAAAGGAACTGCCCATAAATGTTACCATGGCAACACCTGAAGACTCCACAGTGTTACCCAGCATGCTGTTGGCATTGTTGTAAACAAGTTAAAGGCAAGACCTTTGCCAAGATAATTAATGTGTGTATTCTGCGTATTAAGCACTCTAAGGGCCAAGACAGCTTCTTGAGACATGTGGAGGAAAATGATCAGAAAAAGAAGGAAGCCAAAGAGAAAGGTTCCTGGGTTCAGCAAAGCACCAGCCTGCTCCACCCAGAGAAGCCCACTTCATCAGAACCTGTGGAAAGGAACCTGAGCTGCTGGAACCCATCCCCTATAAATTTATGGCATAATAAGTGTATCAAAAGCGGGGGGGGTCTGGACTGAAAATATGTTTTTTTTAATTGAGAAGAAGTATGGTATCCTGTTTCTCAAAGAAATATGCAAATAAAAAGAAGATTCTTATATATGAAGTCGAAAAGGTACAAATTCATCTCTCATTTAGTTTGTATTTTCCAGAATTTTTTTAGCATCTAAGGAAGGGCACATTTGCCGTGTCCTTTGATTTTACACTTTATCTTAGCCAAAAGGCTGAGAAGCGACTGTGTCCTTTGACCTTAGACTCATGGTGTTTCCCAAGGTATAAGTATCAATCACCTCTGGTGAGTACCACCTAAGGAGGTCCCAATGCCTCTTCTTCACTCCAGTGCAGGCTTTGCTTTTGAACAGTTCATATCGTATCCCTGTGCTGAGAGCACAGTCTGCAAACACTATCGCTGAGGCTATTCCCTAGTCCCCCAGACTGCCATTGCTTCTGTCTCCAGAAGCTGAGAGCTAGCGACCATTCTACTCCAAAGTAATGAAGAGCCAGCTATGTCCTGGAGGGGGACCTTCATGTCCGCAGGACTCTCCAAGTACAAGTTTACCAGTGCCTCTGGCTGTATCCAGAGCTCCTTTGAGGCGATTCTTAGTTAGAAATGGAAACCTTCCGAGGGAACACCATCCTTTTAGTTTGGCCTCTATCTTCTTCATTCACTACATCCCCCTCCCGAAGCTGTCAGCTGGGTACCAAAAAACCCCACCACAACTGAATATGTCTGTTCCTTTTCTGGTTTGATTAATACAGAAGAATGAGTCTTTGGCTGTCAGTTCTTTTGTCAAAGTCTTTCTTAGGGGAAGAGAAATCCTTATTTTTACTAGGAATAACCAGGCACTAGTCTATTATAACTACAACGGCTCTCAAAAGAGTTGTACAAAAGAAAAATGTGGCTTCCACCTCCAAAAGTCATTAGAAATGTTTTTCTTATTAAGGCACCCAGACACATAAGATTAGACCAAGCAAAAAGGACCAATTCTCTTTGTGGAGTAGAATAGCAATTGGCTGCTACTCATTAAATTCTTACAGCAATGAGCAATGACTTTCTCTCTCTCTCTCTCTCTTTTTTTTTCTTTGAACAGTGGATGAAGTTGAGCTAGCTTTTTTTGGCCAAAGCTGCCTCCCGTCACCAGCACTCCCGACCCTTGGCCTGTGTAGCTGTTAATATGCTGCACACACATGCTCAGCTCCTTAACAACCAATGTAGTTTTAACCTGTTTACTCCAAGTCACTTCCTAGCTTGTTAGTGAAACTGATTTTTTTTTCTGAACACAATTTCATTTGGCATAAAAATTATATATATATATATATACATGTATGTGTGTATATACATTCATTTTTTTAAAACAGTTATTTACTTGAAAGAATGACTGAAAGAAAGGAGAGAGAAAGAGATATTCCATCTGCTGGTTCACTTCCCAAATGCCCACCTGGGTCAGGACAAAACCAGCAGCCAGGAACTCCACATGGATGTCCCGTGTGGGTGGCAGGAACCCAAGTACTTGGGCCATCACCTGCTGTATCCCAGGCACGTTTGCAGAAAGATGGATTGGAAGCAAGGGTAGGACATGTTCCCAGGCACTCTGGTGTGGGATGTGGGCATCTAAACAGCAGCTTAACCCACTGCACCACAATGTATGTGCCAAATTTTGAGTGTTTTGTTCTGATTCAGATTCTACTATGAACTAGCAGTACATGTGGCAAGTCACTTTAAGCACAGTGGACCCTGTATCAGAGATTCGGGTATTAGACTAGAAGATCTCCAAGTACCTACTCTGATTAGGCTGGAAGCAGTAAGGGTACCAATGGTATAGCAAACCCCTGTCAACACTAGAGGGAGCCACATTCACATGATCACTGGGGTGGATCAGAAGATTTCAAGAAAAAGCATCTCTGAAGGGAAAAATGACATTCCAGGATGAGAAGAACTCAGTATCAAGTGCAGGATCCATGAAGTCCATACAGCCACCCAACAGGGGCTCTGCTGTCACCTTCCCCTCACAGGCGTCAGGGTACCTCACACCTGACTCGCATCAACACACAGTCTGGGCTTTAATTTTCATTATGTGAGAATCACAATGGCTTTGGGCCATTTCTGAAGATTTCTTTCCCCATGTGGTCTTAATCAAATCACCAACAACAAAAGCAAAGTGATAGATTAGATTATTAGAGAATCTCCAAAGCCGACTGAAAAGGAGGAGAGAGACTCCCATCATCCTGAGCTGTAGCCTGGGAAAGTAACAGTGAAAGCACCCACAACTGCATTCATCTGAAGCCCACGGCTCAAATCCAGTGCTACTTTAAAAACAAGGAAACTCCTCAAAAAGAGGAAAGTCAGCAAGGAGAGGAGGGAGCCGGCAATGCGGATGCTGGAATGCCTGAGAACGGTGTCCGTGTACTGCTGGTCTCGTGGTGAGAGGCCGAAGCTGCTGAAGAGTGATGTCATTAATTAGAGGCAACGGGGTCACCTTGGGCTTCCGGCAAGTGAGGGAATGGAGGATGGGGTAGGGGAGGGAAAGCAAGCGGCCTATCTGAAGGTGAAGCTTGATCTGACACTGTACACACTCTCCGGCTTCCACCTCTGAACAGCACCCACATCCTTGAAAATGTCTGACCCTAGCCATTACAGAGCAAGTGAAATGGATCAAAAACTCCTCACTGGCAACAACTCTGTTCCTCCTGGCCCAGGAGAACGTCGGCAGGTTAACGCGACAGAGTGAGGTCACTGACATCACAGACGGAGTCTGCAGGAGAAAGAGAACTGAAATCCTGAGGAACCCTTTTATTTTAGGTCCACAGATGAACACTCAGAAAACAAAGCCTCAGCGGTCATAAATGGAGCACCTACTTGTTAGGACATGGGCGTTCCTGAGTAAAAATAGGTTGTAAGGCAACTTCAGGAAGTGACTTTGTGGGAGAAGGAAAAAAAAATCTATTGGAATTTGACAAACAATTCTTTTTCACTTAGAAAGTGTAAACTCAAACCTCCAGATACACAGTAAACCTCACCTTATTCCTAAGGATCCAAGTAGTTGGATACCTAATCATTTCCAAAACCAGCAATTTCAAGTACTCTGGAAGTGCCAAAGTCTGACCTGAGCTAAGCTGATCTTACTTTACAACTTATTTTTTTTCTCACACGATGTCTAGACCATGCAGGAGAGATGACACTATTACTTCATCTCCGTTTACAACGGCCCAGTATTAGTTTATCCCATGCATAGAACGACTCATAGCATTGGGACACCACAGCAGCAAACAAATGGGAAATCTTCTACAACATTAAAAAAATGTTTTTTAGTAGCCCTTTCTTTTTTTAAAGATTTTATTTATTTATTTGAAAGGCAGAGTTACAGAGAGAGAGCGGGAGAGTGGGAGAGAGGGATCTTCGATCCACTCATTCACTCTCCAAACGGCCACAATGGCCAGAACTAGGATGATCCAGAGCCAGGAGCCAGGAGCTTCCTCCGGGTCTTCCATGTGGGTGCAGGGACCCGGGCACTTGGGCCACCTTCTACTGTTTTCCCAGGTGTATTCGCAGGGAGCTGGATCAAAATGGAACAGCCAGGATTCAAACTGGCATCCATATGGGATGCCCCCCAACAGTCAGCAGCTTAACCTGGTACACCACAGCACCGGCCCCTTTATTAGGCCTTTCAACCAACGATTCTCATGAGAAGCACGAGGAAAATCTAGTCCACAGTTAATAGGAGAAAACTTGTTTACCTCCCTTACTTAGGACACATGCCAAAGGCCTTCTGATTCACTCTGCTTCATACTGACCTTCAAAATGTTTCGGCCATCAAATGATTCTCTTTCCTTGAAGATATATTTGCCGTCCGCTGTGTAGAGATTGTACCTGCCTTCAGCTGCAAATGTTCCAAAGATAATGTTAGATGAGAAGTGTAGGTTATTTATCGCTTATATGCTCAGATTTCTGTAGGTACACAGGCGCAACCAGTTACACTGACATGTATTATCTGGAAAGTGGCACAGTGTGGAGGGGAATCATCCATCTATGAAGCAAAAGACCTGGTTTATCATGCCAGCTCTGCCACCAACCCATGCAATACAGATTTATGCCACTCAGCTTCACCAAGGACCTTCTGTAGGTACTTGTTAATTATGCAACCAGCTGCATTCTTAGGCAGATTATGTCTCCTCCATGAACCTAAGTTCCTCTCTGACAAAGTTAAAGGTCAAGGCTAAGTGGTGTTCAAAGGTTCCTCACCATCTACAAGCCCAGGAGAAACTCACTGTAATTTTAAATATGTAAAAAACACACCAAAGTTCACACACTTCCTTTCTTTCTTTCTTTCTTTTTTTTTTGACAGGCAGACTGGACAGTGATAGAGAGAGAGAAAGGTCTTCCTTTGCCATTGGTTCACCCTCCAATGGCCACCATGGCCAGCGCACCACACTGATCCAATAGTAGGAGCCAGGTACTTCTCCTGGTCTCCCAAGAGGTGCAGGACCCAAGCACCTGGGCCATTCTCCACTGTACTCCCTGGCCACAGCAGAGAGCTGGCCTGGAAGAGGGGCAACCGGGACAGAATCCACCGTCCCGACCGGGACTAGAACCCGGTGTGCCGGCACCGCAAAGTGGAAGATTAGCCTAGTGAGCTGCGGCGCCGGATTTCTCTGGCTCTTTTTTTTTTTTTTTACACTGACTTCCAAGGCTGTTGGTAACCATGCTCTGGGCTAATTTAAGGACGCCCCCAAAATGAGAGAGATCTTTCAGATGCAATCACAGGTATCCTAACTACATTCTACACAGCAGATCCATGACCTAAGCCTAAACAAAGCTGCACTCTAGCTTCAGGAGTTCATTTACCCTGCATATCCCAAATCCCAAAAGATGCCCTTAAAGGATAGCAGGAAAAAGAATATCAAAGGACAGAGAAACAGGAAAGAAAAAGCAAAACCTCATCTCATGTCCTTTTCAAGTAAATTCAAAACAGGGAAGAGTATAAGGTAGAGAAAATCCAAACCATCTTCAAAAATCACTTAATTCTCAGAACATTTTCTGAAATACTTTTTCCTGCTCACTGACATACTCTCAAAAAAAATCTGCAATCCATCTTGGAATATGTTCCTTTACTTATACAGATATGGGAGAGTATGGGGTCAGAACAGTCCAAATAGATCCTATGTTCTAATCACTTCACCAGTGTAACACATTCTAGCTAGCCCACGGAGTTACACATGGCTACCTGTGGAACCATTTCTATAATGAGATGGATGTTTTCAAAGATCCCAATCCCAGGCATATTTCACAGTTAAAGAACTAAACTGATACCAAGTAAGTATCAATTAAAAAGAGGAACTCAGGCCAGTTGCTCCTCTTCCAGGCCAGCTCTCTGCTATATCCTGGGAGTGCAGTGGAGGATGGCCCAAGTCCTTGGGCCTTGCACCCACATGGGAGACCAGGAGAAGCACCTGGCTCCTGGCTTCGGATCAGCGCGGTGTGCCTGCGGCCGGCCACAGCGGCCATTGTGGGGTGAACCAACGGAAAAAGGAAGACTTTCTCTCTGTCTCTCTCTCAGTCCACTCTGCCAGTCAAAAAAAAAAAAAAAAAAAAAAGAAGAAGAAGAAGAAGAACTCATATTTGCATTTGGAAATGTTTGATCACAGGTTTCAAATCTATAAGCATCATCAACCATGAGAGAAAAGCAAATCAAAAGCAAAATCAGATATAACTTTACACCAAAAATGGCTGTAATAAAAAATACATAATAACAAATATTAGCAAAGATGTGGAGAAACTGAAATGCTCATAAATTACTAGCAGATATGGAAAAATAGTACAACTACTCTGTTAGTTCCTCAAAAGATTAAATATAGAATTATCATATGACCCAGTAATTCTACTCCTAAGTATATCCTAAGTATATTTCAGTTTTTAACTGAAAACATGCTCCTACAAAAACTTGCCCATGATGTCCACAGAAGCAGTATTTGTAACAACCAACCTGGAAACAACAGAAATATCCATTAACTGCTGCATGGATACATAAAATACAGTGTATCTACTCAATATAAGACTATCTGGCAGCCGGCACTGCGGCTCAATAGGCTAATCCTCCACCTAGCGGCGCCGGCACACCGGGTTCTAGTCCCGGTCGGGGCGCCAGATTCTTTCCCGGTTGCCCCTCTTCCAGTCCAGCTCTCTGCTGTGGCCCGGGAAGGCAGTGGAGGATGGCCCAAGTGCTTGGGCCCTGCACCCCATGGGAGACCAGGAGAAGCACCTGGCTCCTGCCTTCGGATCAGCACGGTGCGCTGGCCACAGCGCACCAGCTGTGGCGGCCATTGGAGGGTGAACCAACGGCAAAAAGGAAGACCTTTGTCTCTGTCTCTCTCTCTCACTATCCACTCTGCCTGTCATAAAAAAAAAAAACAATATTAGATATAATTGACTATCTGGCAACAAAAAGAGTGAAGTACTGATACATGCCAAAACATGGATCAGCCCTGAGAACACTATGCTAAGTTGAACAAGTCAATCACAAAAGATCACATATTGAATCATTATTCTATTTATATGACATGTCCACAACAGGCAAAACTATAGACACAGAAAGCAGAATGGTGGTACCTATGTCTGAAGGGCTGAAGGGTTAGGAGAAAATGGAGTATGGGGTTTCTTTCTGGGGTGCTGAAAAAGTTCTGAAATTTATTGTGGTGATGGCTGCACAATTCTTGACTACACCAAAAACCACTGAAAATTATGCATGTTACATGAGTGAAATGGGAAGCACAGGACTTACAGCTCAACAAAGCTATTTTACACACACATACACACACACATACACACACACATATATTTAAATTTTCATTTAATTATTTGAGATCAAGGGAGACAGAGAGCCCCCATCTCCCAAGGACTTGGGCCATCTTCTACTGGTTTCACAAGCCATCAGCAGGGAACTGGATCGAAGTGGAGCAGCTGGGACTCGAACCAGCGCCCATATGTGATGCCAGCACTGCAGGTGACAGCTTTACTGGCTATGCCACAGCACCAGCCTTGCCTCCCTATCATATCTTTAAAAATCTACAAGTAGCAGGAAGAGATTAACTAGACTGTGAACACATGTCACTTCTTATATGAAGCTCTAGTGCTAACTAAATATAAATCTGTATCCACACAATTTAGAAGATAATGATTACAACATAACTGGGGGCTGGCACTTCCAATCCAGCTCTCTGCTATGGCCTGGGAAGGCAGAAGACAATGGCCCAGTGCTTGGGCTCCTGCATCCATATGGGAGACCCAGAAGAAGCTCCAGGCTTCAGATCAGCCCAGCTCTAGCTGTTGCAGTCATCTGGGGAGTGAACCAGCGAATGGAAGACCTTTCTCTCTCTGCCTCTGCCTCTCTGTGACTCTGCCTTTCAAATAAATAAATAAATCTTAAAAAAAAAAAAACACACACACACACACAACATAACTGAGCTCCTTCTACATCAAGAAATTAGTAGGACATGATATAATTTGAGGAGCTCTGAAGAGAGATTTAAGGACTAAGACAAATGCAAAATGTACTAAAGATGGCTATTAAATGTCTAATACAATACTGTCTGGACGTGCACTGTCCCAAACAGTAGCCATAGGTAGTTATTTAAATTTTAATTAGTTAAACTGAATGCAAATAAAAGTTCACTTGCACATTCTCTAGCCACTTTCCAAGTGTTCAATAATCACAAGGGACAGTGGTACTATATTGGACATGACAGATATAGAATATTTCTATCCTAGAAAGTTCTATGAGATGGTGCTGTATGTCTTCTGAACCAAAGAATTTAGAGTTCTGAAATTCTGCCTTTGTGGAAAGATGTTAAAATGTACAATGTATCCCAGGGGATCCCAGTGTGTCTTCCAAAGTTAAAAACGACTATCCAGAATTTTTAAAATATGTACTAAATGGACTTCCAACTAATAATATTATCAACCTACAGTGAGTTCACCAGGACAAAACCCCATTGTAAAATGAGAGGCATCTGTGCCACAAACCTGGTTAAACATTTCCTGGCCAAGCTGGGCTACAACACACAGGTACCCAAATATTCCACCCCTCTGCAGTACCACTGCCCAGATGAAAATCATGTTTTTCAGAGGAACACGTTTAAAGCTCTGGATTCTATTAGCTACTCAAACCAGGGTCTACAGGCTCTGACTGAGTCATCTGAACCTCTGCTGACATCAGTGTTTTCAAAGGTAAAGCAGTGATTTATTTAGAAAAATTTTAAATAAAATTCACTATAGCATTACAAAATACTTTCAGAACTAACAACTAGATAACTACATGTTTCATGGCCATACCATGGTTCTAATTAAATGATTTCCAGTTGGGCTCTTTGATATATATCTGAAAGAAATAAACAGACATGCCTTGACAAAAACAGACACGCCAACTGTCCCAAACTAAAAATCCACACAGAGTTAATGCGTTCAGGTCCTGATAGAGCCCTCTTCTAGTCTAGACTTCCTGAAACCAAGAGCAGCAACCTTAAAAAGAGAAAAAATAGTTGAATACGGGATTTGGGTGCTGCCAGTTTTTAAAGGACAGGTCTTGGAAGGAAAAGTTGCCTATCGTTTGAAAGTGTGGCCCCTCAGCTCCCCACCCAGGAGACAGTGGCTTAAGACATCGTCCCATGCCAGCAGAGTACCTCTAAAGACAGACTGTCATCCCTCTACCCCTCCTGGACTTCTGGGGCTAATGTCATCTCATATAACTCTAGCTTTAAAAAAACAAAAGGGAGGAATGTTAGCAAAATAGTGCAGTCTTATCTATGGCACAATCTACACCCTGACACCATCCTCGGCTCTAGCCCTTGCCGCCATTGCTGGAAACCAGGTGGTCACGTGACCCAACCACTTGTGTCAGCTCCACCCCCATCCCAATGGGATTCGCTGCTCCCACATCCCTGTCCACCCCCTAGCAAAAGTTTAAGAGGACCTGTTCCTGAACACGCGGCTCTCCCTCCATCTCTCTCTCTCTCTCGGTCTCTCTCTCACGCTCTCCTTCTCCCTCTTTTCCTTCTTCACCCCTTCCCTCCAGTATGTTGGGTTTTCCCACCAATAAACTCTTTCCCTTACAAAAACAAAGTGTGGCTCCTCAGATGGTAACTGTTCTAATGAAGCTCTTGCTTTGGAAGTGGGGTTAAGAAAACAAGAATCCTTTGAAATACATGTGGTTTGGTTTTTTTTTTTTTTAATCAATAACTTTCAATTTTACTTGAAACAGAGAGAGACAGAAACAGAAGTTCCATCCAGTGTTTCACTTCCCAAATTGCCTGCAACAGCCAAGGCTGGGCCAGGCTGAAGCAAAGAGCCCAGAACTCAATCCAAATCTCCCATGTGGGTGGCAGATGCCCAAGGACGAGTGCCAACCTCTGCTGCCTCCCAGGGTGCACATTAGTATAAAGCTGGACCAGGCACTCTGACAAGGGATGCAGGCATCCTAAGCAGTGAATTAACCAGTACACCTCACGGCCACCCCTGAAATAAATTAGTATTCCAAGTCAATGATTAAAACAAGGCATTCTTGTATGAAGGCTCAGACACCATGAGGAAAAAAATTAACTCTAGTTTCTCAACCTCAGTGCTATTGTTTTGTTTTGTTTTGTTTTTAAAGGGAAAGGGTTTATTGGTAGGGAAACCTGATAGATCAGAGGGAAAGGGCAAAGAAGGAAAAGAAGGAGAAGGAGAGCATAATAAAGAGATCAAGAGACAGAGAAGAGATGGAGAGAGTCATGTGTTCAGAAACAGGTCCTCTTAAACTTATGGGGGAGGGGGGGACAGGCAGGGAAGTAGGAGCAGCGAATCCCATTAGGATAGGGGTGGAGCTGACACCGGTGGTTGGGCCACATGGCCACTTGGCTTCCAGCAATGGCAGCAGGGGCTAGAGCCAAGGATGGTGTCCGGGGTATAGAATGTGCCATAGATAAGACTGCGCCGGCACACCGGGTTCTAGTCCCGGTCGGGGTGTCGGATTCTGTCCCAGTTGCCCCTCTTCCAGGCCAGCTCTCTGCTGTGGCCAGGGAGTGCAGTAGAGGATGGCCCAAGTACTTGAGCCCTGCACCCCATGGGAGACCAGGATAAGTACCTGGCTCCTGCCATCGGATCAGCGCGGTGCGCCGGCCACGGCGGCTATTGGAGGGTGAACCAACAGCAAAGGAAGAAAGGAAGACCTTTCTCTCTGTCTCTCTCTCTGCCTGTCAAAAAAAAAAAAAAAAAAGACTGTGCCATTTTACTAACATTCCTCCCTTTTGTTTTTTATAAAGATAGAGTTATATGGGATTACATTAGCCCCAGAAGTCCAGGAGGGGTAGAGGGATGACAGTCTGTCTTTAGAGGTACTTCCTGCTGACATGGGGTGACACGAGGTACTCTGCTGGCATGGGGCGATGTCTCAAGCTGCCGTCTCCTGGGTGGGGAGCTGAGTATATTCCTGTAGCAGCACGTGACTGACTGCCTAGCTGGCAGCCTCAGTGCTACAGATACTGTGGGTTGGATAATTCTTTTTTTTTTTTTAAATAAGATTTATTTATTTATTTGAAAGGCAGAGTGACAAGAGAGGAAGAGGCAGAGAGAGAGAGGTCTTCCATCTGCTGGTTCCCTCCCCAAATGGCCGCAATGGCCAGAGCTGGGGTGATCCAAAGTCAGGAGCCAGGAGCTTCTTCCAGGTCTCCCACGCAAGTGCAGGGGCCCAGGCCAAAGCAGAGAGCTGGATTGGAAGTGGAGCAGACAGGACTGGCACAAGCGCTCATATGGGATGTCAGCAGACAGCTGCTTTACCTGCTACACCATAGCGCTGGCCCTGAATAATTCTTTGTCATGGGGAACTGTGTTGTTTATTGTAGAGCACTGAGCAGCACCAGGATCTCCACCTACTAAATGCCAGTATCAAGTGACCCTCAACCCTCTGTGACAACCAAAAATGTCCCTAAATAATCCCAAGTGTTTTTTGGGGCACAAAATCACCCCCAGTTGAGAACCATTAATCTAACATTTACAAATTAACTTTCCTTTCTTCTCTTCAAAAAGTCACTGATGGGGCCCAGTGCTGTGGCATAGTGAGCTAAGCCTCCACCTGCAGTGTTAGCATCCCATTTGGGCACTGGTTCAAGTCCAGCTGCTCCTCTTCCCATCCAGCTCTCTGCTATGGCCTGGGAAAGCAGCAGAAGATGGCCCAAGTGCTTGGGCTCCTGCACCTGCATTGGGGACCCAGAAGAAGCTTCTGGCTCCTGGCTTTGGATCAGCCCATCTCCAGCTGTTATGGCCATTTGGGGAGTGAACCAGCAGCTAAAGACCTTTCTCTCTGGCTATCCCTCTGTCTGTAACTCTACCTCTCAAATAAATAAAATCTTTAAAACAAAAAAAGTCACTAATGGGGCTGGCACTGTGGCAAGGTTAAGTCACCACCTACAATGCTAGCATACCAAATAAGCACCAGTTCAAATCCCAGCTGCTCTGCTTCTAATCCACCTCCCTCTAATCCATCTCCCTGTGCTAATCCATCAGGAAAGGAGAAGACGGCCTGAGTACTTGGGTCCCTGCCTCCCACGTGGGAGATCCAGATGGTGTTCCTGACTCCTGGCTTTGGCTTGGCCCAGCTCTGGCCATTGCGGCCATTTAGGGAGTAAACCAGGGGATGGAAGACCTCTCTCTCTCTCTCTCTCTCTCTCTGCCTTTCAGGTAAAATAAACCTTAAAAAAAAAAAAAGGCACTGAGATTACTAGAGGGTCAGAAAAGAGACAGAGAGGAAGGGGGGTAACAGGTACCGAGATGCAGTGAGACAGGAGGAATTAGCTGCAGTGTTCTGCAGCACAGGGGGTGACCAGGGTACATTGTAACCTATTACATGTTTCATGAACAGCGGAAGAGAGGAGCATGAGGGCTGCAAACATAAAGCACTAACAGTAAGAAGGAAATATGAGTCACTCTTGATTTGATCAGTACACACTACATACACTTACTGAAACATCACGCTGCATTATGGAAGTATGTACAATTATTGTGTTAACCAGTTGTTTTTAAAAGATGCTTAAAGAGATGAAAATACCAACTACTCTAATTTGATCATCACTCATCACATATCAAATGACCACACTATCCTTCATAAATATGTACAACTAAATAGGAAAAATAATTCTCTTAAAGTCACTGAGAATTGCACAGGATATACTTCAGCTAAAAAAGTTATTCACAGTTCATCTAAAATTTACCTGGGCATTCAGCAGTTTTATTCAGCAAATCTGGCAATGCTGTGTGTAACAAAAATGAGAGCTCTGGAAGCCACATTCCCGTGAGAGGTGGCCCTGCCCACTTCTACTGTGCCCATCAAAACTCCCAAATCTAAAGCAGATACACTGGAGATCGTCTGACAGCTGTTCTGCTAACCGTAGGGTACCTAAGACCTTGCTGATGTGACTGTGCTCCCATTCTGTATGCAAGACTTACCACTGGGGTCTTTCCTGAAGAGCGTGTTCATGACTGTGGCATGCAGTTTCACACTATTCCATTCTTTCACGATGAGTCCAGATGCCTGAAAACGTTCCAGCACTCGATCAACTAACTCCTGCAGCCTGGGGAGATTGAAGGAAGGAGAGCAGAACTCTTAGCAAAGACTCCTGAACCACTGGCTACTAACAGTGCCTACTGAGGTCTTCTCTGTACCAGTCACTGTACAAAGTTCTACATCAAGAGTAAGAGAGGGGCCAGCGCTGTGGCATAGCGGGTAAGGCCATCACCTGCAGTGCTCGCATCCCATATGGGCGCCAGTTCAAATCCCGGCTGCTCCGCTTCCAATCCAGCTCTCTGCCATGGCCTGAGAAAGCAGTGGAGGATGGCCCAAGTCCTTGGGGCCCTGCACCCACATGGGAGACCCAGAGGAAGCTCCTGGCTCCTGGCTTCAGATTGGCACAGCTCCAGTCATTGTGGCCATCGGGGGAGTGAACCAGCAGATGGAAGACCTCTCTCTCTCTCTCTCTGACTCTGCTTCTTTATCTGTGTAACTCTGACTTTTAAGTAAATAAATAAATCTAAAAAAAAAAAAAAAGAGGAAGAGAAAGAGGCTGCAGCCCTCACCACGATGCTCACTGTGCCATCATGAAGACAGATGGGGAAACAAACCACTGCCAAGTGGTTACTGCGAGGGCTAAGGAAGTGGTCAACTCTGCATGGAGAGGGCCAGGCTTCTGTAGGAGGTTCAAGCATGGTCATGAAGGATCATTAAGGGTTCAGAGATAAAACGAAGGAAGGAAGAGCACTTCAGGCAGAAGTGAATACGTGAGCCCACTCTTCAAGCAGAAGAAACAGCATGACCAAAGTATGCACAATCAGAGCATATTTGGAAAACTGCTGACTGTTTAATATAGTTATAACAGAGAGACACTGTGGGGAGCAACTCGGACTAGACTAAGTTACTGGAATTAAGACTTATTCTATGCATCTGCTCTCCCACAATATGGCGCTGGGAGAGGAGGAAACAGCTTCTACACAGCTGCCTCCAGTTCAACCAATAAACAGCAGGACCTGCTCCTGATTGGAGGAGAGCAGCGTACTCGGCGTGTGGGTAGCAGAGTTGGGATTGGAGGAAGAGGACTATAAAGGAGGAGAGAGACAACATGCACCAGGAACATCTATCTGAAGGAACACCTGTGCAGCCCCCGAGAGAGCTGGCCGGCGGTGTGCCGCTCCCCCGCGAAAGTGGGGAAAGTGGCAGGGGGAACCGCCCTTCCACGGAGGTGGAAGGGACGGTAGCCAACCCGGGAAGGACCAGCAGCCAACCCGGGAAGAACCAGCAGCCAACCTGGGAAGAACCAGCAGCAAACCCGGGGAGGGCCGAGCAGACAAAAGAACAGCGCAGGGTCCTGTGTCGTTCCTCCATTAAGAGGGGGAGCGACATAATGGTGCCGTGACTCAGATAGGAAACCTAGGCAGGGTTTAGTGTCATTCCTCCACGAAGAGGGGGAGCGACAGACACACAAGCAGTAATCAGACCACGGGAAGCCAGGGAAAGACTTTCAAAGGGAATGATGTAAGCCACTGTCCATTTTTGAAACTGGGAGTCTACGCAGGGTAGAGAATGCTTTACAGGGCAGAAACCAGCAGTACGGAGGTCAGGTGGCAGCCACTGTAATAGTAGGAATAACAACAAACATGATATGTCAGGCACTGCGCAGAGCACTTTATACCTGTTAAATCATTTAAACCTTATAATAAATTATTAGTCCAATTTTACCAATGAGGAAACTAAAGCACGGAGCACTTATGAAATCTGACCAAGGTCATACCACTAGCAAGTGGCAGGTCCAAAATTAGAACGCACACAGTCTGGCTTCTGAGCCCAGAAGGCACTGAAGGGGGAAATGATAAAGATTTAAGCTATGGCAGGGGCAGCGAGAACTCAGGCAAGGGAATGAATCCGAAGAGCTGCGTGAGAGAAGCTGGTGTCCGTTCAGATAAGGCAGTAGTAAGAGAGTAGAGGAGGCTGTGGAAAAGCAAGAGCTCATTGTTACACTGTTCTGTTTGAGGGAGAGGGTGGATACCATGCCGGATTTTGCACACATGGCATGGGATATTAAACAGAACCTGTCCAGGAAGAGAGACGGAAGCACAAGCCTGGAGCTCAGGAGAAAAACCCGGGCAAATGATACAGACCTGGAGGTTGTCAGCGAGAGATAAATGCAGCCATGGGTGGGGACAGGGAATCAGAGAAAGCCAAGAAAGGAGCTAAGGACAAAGCCCCGTGAGACACTTCTACATGAAGGGCAGAGAGGAAAGCAAAAAGGTGTCTGGTGAGGAAGACTTCAGAAAGGCTCGAAGGAGAGAATCTTAAGGGGGAGAAAAAGAAAGATAAGAACAGTGCAGGCCGGGGGCCGGCGCTGTGGGTTAATCCTCCACCTGCGGCGCCAGCATACCATATGGGCGCCAGTTCAAGTCCCGGCTGCTCCACTTCCAATCTAGCTCTCTGTTATGGCCTGGGAAAGCAGTAGAAGGTGGCCCAAGTCCTTGGGCCCCGGCACCCACATGGGAGACCCAGAAGAAGCTCCTGGCTCCGGGCTTCGGATCAGCGCAGCTCTGGCCATTGTGGCCACTGGGGAGTGAACCAGCAGAAGGAAGACCTCTCTCTGTCTCTGCCTCTCCTTCTCTGTGTAACTCTTTCAAATAAATAAATAAATAAATCTTTTGAAAAATAGTGTAATACTACACAAAAGTAAAATAAGAAAAGCAGTCAAAGTGTGCACTCATTTCTCACAACAACAGACCTCTGTCAAGGCACTTCTGCCGGTACACTGGAGACAGAACTATGGCAGAGACCCAGGGAGAAAGCAGAGAGGTGAGGGCAAGGCGCTGCACATCCCTCCTTGCCTCCGTCATTGGAAAACACAGAGCTGAGGGACACTGCTGTGTTTGTTCTCCTGGAGGAGGAGGAGTTGAAAATGCTTCAGGACAGTAAGAAGTTATCCAACAGAGGAGGAAGGACAACTCCAGGTAGGAGAGGGGCTGGACAGAACAAGCCCTCCAGGAGACAGGAAGGGATGATGTGCTCCCAGGTGACAGGAAGACACAGGGAGCAACACAAGGACCCACCCGGAAGCAGCCTGCCTTCTGCTGTAAGGAGACAGCAACACACACAAGCACTCCTGTAGCTGTTTCGAGGCCTCAGGAGGAAGTGTAACAGCCACGAGGCGGGAGAATGTGCCTCAGTGTGGGTGTGGTACTTCAGGAGCGTAAGGTGTCCCTAACAAAGTGACGTCTGGATGGAGACTAAGAGGGAACAGCATATGCAGATGTCTGGGGTAGGCATATGGGTGGTATGACTGAGGAACAGGAAGGAAGCCAGAGTTGGAGAGAGGCAGGGAGCACCAGGTCACACAGTGCTCTGAGGTCTCGGGGAGGACTCAGGCACTAATGCAGAGGAGGCAGAGAGCTCGTGCAGGATTTTCAGAGCAATGGCATGATACGGCCGCTGTGCACAGCAGAGACAGAGGTGGAAGTGCAGCTAGGAAGCCGTGCAACCACCCAGGTGGCTGGGGTGGCAGCAGGGGTGGTGCTGAGGAGGGGTAGATTCCTGATACACTCAAGTCAAGAGGGAAAGGTGAGCTGAGAAGAATTTTTGTCCTTAGCAACCAAAAGACAGACTATCAAAGAACACAACACATTCAAGGACTTTTGAGAAATTATATACAGAGGGAAGGGCAGGGATGAGAAGGCCTCTGCTGAGGCCAACTGGGAAAGGCCACCCGGGCCAGGCAGGGTGTGAAACATATCTGATAGGCTGCAGGACAGCGATGAGGGTTTCCAAGCAGCAAGAATCACAGAGAAATGCCAAAGGCATGAAACCAGTTAAGAGAGGTGTGGTGCTTCCTTACATAGTCACCTCAATTATTTTTCTGGTAAAAAAATAATACATGACAGGGCTGCCACTGTGGTGCAGCAGATTAAGCCACTGCCTGCAGCACCAGCATCCTATGCAAGCCCTAGTTCAAGTCCTGGCTGCTCTACTTCTGATCCAGCTCCCTGATGATGCATCTGGGAAAGCAGTGGAATATGGCCCACCTACTTGGGCCCTTGCCACCCACATGGGAGACCCAGATGAGGCTCCTGGCTCCTGGCTTTGGCCTGGTCTTGTCCCAGCCACTGCAGTCATTTGGGGAGTGAATCATCAGATGGAAGATCTAAGTATGCTTTTCAAACAAATAAATAAATCTTAAAAAAAAGTTTATTATAAAAAACATGGAAAGTGCAAAAAAAGTATAAAAGGGAAAACAACCTCACCATTCACAGATGAACACTTAACAAAAAGCTAGACATTTATCTGTACATAAGGTATGTAATCAGAGGTGAAAAAAGTTATGCCATGTTGAAAAGTTTCTGATTAACTAAAACCTCCAGAGCTCCATAAAATTTTGAAGCATTTCTAAATACCACAATGTCACTTAAGTCTGAACACAAGCATGCACTACAAACACCTCAATTACAAACCACAAGAGGATGTCTCACTTCCCTGACTTCTCTATTAAAGAAAAGAAAAAGTGGGTAAGGAGCTGAGCCATATAAAAACAGGGAGCAAGAATACTACAGTAGGGGCCAACATGGTACAGAAAGGTAAAGCTACCACCCCTGACACTGGCACCCCACATGTGTGCTGGTTCAAGACCCAGTTGCTCCACTTCTGATTCACCTCCCTGCCTACGGCCTGGGAAAAGCAGTGAAAGTTTTTGGACCCCTGCCATCCATGTGGGAGAACTAGAAGAAGCTTCTGACTCCTGGCTTCAGCCTGGCCCACGCCAGCCATTACAGCCATTTGGGGAGTGAACCAGCAGATGGGAGGTCTTTCCCTTTCTGTCTCCCTCTCTCCATGTAACTCTGACTTTAAAATAAACAAAATAATCTTAATAATAATAACAAAAATACTAGAGTAATGAAACTAAATAGATGAAAGAAATCAGCTTCCAGCTGTATCTTTCTGGAAAACTAGGATCTCTGCCAATTTACAGGCTCAGAACATTGAAGGGGCTGGAGTCTTTTAAAAAGTCCTTGCCTAACCTGCTATTTTTATACAGAGGAAATGATGCAC